ACTCGGTTCCAATGCAAGGCCCGCCACCGTGGGTGTCGCTGGAAAGCGGGCCGGAATTAAAAACAAGATGCCACCTTTGCCACTTCAAAGTTTCACTAGGAAAGATTCCAAAATCATGCTAAAATAAATAAACCCTTGGGACAGTACTATAGCTGTCCCAGGCACACAGTGAATTTAGCCAGAGTATTTATTTACACAGGAGTCCTATCTGAAGATCAGAAATGTAATAAAAACAAATGAAATGAATACAAAGAGAAGCCAGTGATAGATGAATTAATCCAACACCCGCTGCAGGATGGCGGGGCTTAGGGAGCCCAGTGTCCCACCCAGGAACCGGACCAGAGAGCTGACCGGGGAAATGCGTGACTTCAAAACTTTGGGAGGTCCGCCTCGCCCCAACCCCCGGTGGGGAATCTCAGTGTATGTAGAGTCACCGTTTTAACACCTCTGATGGACCCAAAGTGACTATTAGTTTGAATATAGTACTTCATGACCAGGAAAAATAAAGGTTTTAACTCTTAAAATCTATCAACCTATTTATTGATTGATTGATTTCAGAGAGGAAGGGAGAGGGATCCAGAGATAGAAACATCAATGATGAGAGAATCACTGTCGGGCTGCCTCCTGCACGCCCCCTACTGGGGATCGAGCCTGCAACCCAGACCTACTGGTTCATAGGTCCATGTTCGCTCAACCACTGAACCACAGCCAGCCAGGCTAAACCTGTTTTAGTTTTCCAGACCAAATAGAGACCTCAGGGAAATTTTAATTCATTAAAAAAAGCCTTCCCTCTCTTCCCCAAACAGCTTTGGGAATCCTCAGTCCCCTCTTCCTTTCCTGACCTAGCCCCTGAGCAGAGCTGTGGAAGTCCTCTGTGCCACGCTGTACCCCTGAAGTCCTCTGTGCCACACTGTGTCCCTTAAGTCCTCTGTGCCACAGTGTACCCCCGAAGTCCTCTGTGCCACACTGTGACCCTGAAGTCCTCTGTGCCACACTGTACCCCTGAAGTCCTCTGTGCCACACTGTACCCCTGAAGTCCTCTGTGCCACACTGTACCCCTGAAGTCCTCTGTGCCACACTGTACCCCTGAAGTCCTCTGTGCCACACTGTACCCCTGAAGTCCTCTGTGCCACACTGTACCCCTGAAGTCCTCTGTGCCACACTGTACCCCTGAAGTCCTCTGTGCCACACTGTACCCCTGAAGTCCTCTGTGCCACACTGTACCCCTGAAGTCCTCTGTGCCACACTGTGGACCAAAAAGGGGCCACATACTAAACCTGACAAGCTCAGCAAAGGCCTGCTCCGTGTGCCTTATAAACTGAGACCTAAAGTAACCACACAGGATGGTCTGAAATTAAAACTTTCTAACAAAAGCAAATCATGGCCAGATTGACCTTTGTCAGGGGAGATACCCTGACAAAGGTTAATCTTTAACCTTAACTGAGCCTGTCTATTGTCTTTTTGCATCTATGAAATGCCAGGGGGCCCTGGCTAGGGGTTTCAGTTGGTTGGAGCATCATCCCATGCACCAAAAAAGGTTTCGGGTTCAATTTCCGGTCAGACACATACTTGGGTTGTGGAATTGATCCCCAGTTGGGGTGAGTATGGGAGGCAACCGATCTCTCTCCCTCTCTCCCCCTTCCTCTTTCTCTAAAAATTAAAAAATAAATAAACAAAAACATATCCTTGAGTGAGGAGTAAAGAGAAAAGGAAAAGAAATGCCAGTGTAATTTTTTTTTCTAGACCCCTCACTGCACCAGACCACAAAACCCTTCTTACGGGAAGCAACCAATCGATATTTCTTTCTCCCTTCCTCCCTCTCAAAAAAATCAATAAGAAACATATCTTCAGGCAAGGATTAAAAAAAAAAGAAATGTCAGGGTAATTTCCTTTTTTTCTGGACCCCTCACTGCACCAGAGCAAAGATCACAAAACCCCTCTTGATTTGTTATAGTGTTAACTGCTAACTATCCTATACCCAGAAGTGTAAAAGAAGTGTCTATTTATTTTACTTTTTATCCAATCCCAGAGATTTCCCCACTTTGCTTTCTCCCACCTCCCTAATCTATCATGTCCAGTCACATGGATTTCATGTAACCCCTTAAGCCTCCTCCTTTGATTGTAATGTATAAAATAAGGTGCAAATTTGTCATTCTCTGGAGCATTTTCTCAATATGTTAAGATTTTGCTTTCTGGCAATTGTCAGTTTGGCTCAAATACACTCATAAAAATTCTCTACAGGTTTAAACATTTCTTAGGTTGACAACGCCCAGTCTTCCCTTGCATGTCAGCTATCATCTGGAATCTTCACAGCTCTGGCTCCAGGCTGGGCTTGCAGCAAAAGTAAATCCACCACTAATTCAGGCCCTGAGGCATTTGAATAAACCACTCAATAAGGGACCTGTTTCCTTATTTTAAAAGAGCCTTACTGTGGAAAACCAGAGTTAATCACTGAATATAAAATGAAACATGCTGTATGCAGTATAAATTTTTATTTTCTACCTTTCTGCATTTCCCATTCATTTTAATAACTTTGTCCAACAAGCCCACAAACTCT